TTGTTAACAATGGTTTTGTCCCAGGGGATATCCACGGAGTACCTTGTGGGCATGAGGTGATTGTAGTTATAAACTTTCACAAAGGACTTGATCTTTGACCTCTTGGCATTTTTCTTCTTGCCCATGGCAGCTGTCACTTTTCGGGGATAGCGGTCAATTCCAGCTACCAGAGCGTGGCTGTAGGGGCGGTCTGAGGTGCTATCATCAATGTTCTTGACGATGACGGCTTTGCGTCCAGAGTAACGTCTGACCAGGACCAGTACCACCTTCCCTGGTTTCCTGAACTTGCCCATTTTGACAGCAACCACCCAGACCGACAACAAAAAGGAAGAAATAGTACTCTGTGTTTCTTATAAAAGGTAACCTACTAAAAAAAAAAAGGTAACCTACTGAGAGGTCCGTATTTATTCCTACCCCTAAAAATGGTGACCCGACAGAGTATGGAAATGATAAAACAATGATAATTATTACTAATATCACACAAAAACTACTGGAACAGTATATAAACAGAGAACGAACAGAAATACAAGCTGGATTTAGAAGAGGCTGTGGCACTGGAGACATTATCATTAATGTCAGATGGATCTTGAATGAAAGCAGAGTGTACCAGAGAAATAGCTATCTGTGCTTCATTGACTAGGCAAAGGCATTTGACTGTGTAGATCACAACAAATTGTGGCTAACTTGGAGAAGAATGGGAATCCCAGAACACTTGATTGTGTTCATGTGAAACCTATTTTTTGACCAAGAAGCAGTCATCAGGACAGAGCAAGGAAACAACTTTATTGTTAAAAATTGGGAAAGGAGTGTGTCAGGATGTGTCCTTTCTCCATACCTTTTCAATCTATATGTGGAGTATATCATTTGAAAGGCTGGACTTTATGAGGAGGGTTGTGGCATCAGGTTTGGAGGAAGACTCACCATCCTGAAGCATTTGCTGCAGAGGATCAAGAATTGTAGTCTTCAATATGGATTGAGGCTCACCATCAAAAAGACAAAGATTCTCACCTAGGGGCCAGTTGACAGATTCATGACGGATGGAGAACAGAATGAGGTTGCTAACAATTACAGCTTGCTCATCTCCACAATCAACACTCTTGGCACTTGCAGTCAGGAAATCAAAAGGCAAATTGCACTGGAAAAATTTAAGATCAGGGACTTCTCCAAAGTTGTGAGGAGCAATGACGTCAGTCTAGAGACTAAGGTGTACTTCATCTAGGCCGTGGTCTTTGCAGTTACATGCGATGCATCAGAGAGCTGGACAATGACTGAAGATGACAGAAGAATTGATGCCTTTGCGTTATGGTCCTGGAGAAGAGTATTGAACATACCACTGACAGCCAGGAGAACAAATAGGTCTGTGTAGGAGAAGGTGAAACCAAGTTTCTCTTTGTAGGCAAGGATTTTGAAGCTTTGTCTCACATACTTTCGGCATGTGGCCAAGAGGCACCAGTTCTTGGGGAAGGACATCATTCTTGGAACGGTGGAGGGATAGCACAGGAGAGGAAGACCCTGGATGAGATAGATTGATTGATAACTGGCATAATGGAATTAGGAGTGTCAGAGTTAGTGAGAATGTCTCAGGATAGGGCAGGGTTCAGAGCTTTTGTACAAAGGATTGCTGTGAGTCACAGGTGACTTGACAGCACTTAGCAACAACAGTAACAGAGACACAAAAGATCTTTATAAGGATAACTGTAAAACACTATTACAAAAAAAAAAAAACAATTACAAACCACTATTACAAGAAACAAGAGACCTATAAATGGGAAAATATTCCCTGTTCCTTGTATATAAAGACTCAACATTGTGAAAATGACAGTCCTACCAAAAGCAATCTGCATGTTCAGTGCAATCCCAATACAGGTGCCAAACTCATTCTTCAAAGAGATAATAGAAAAGGCAACTTGTAGGTTTAATTTGGATGTTGGGGCAGGGGGTAATTTTCCACAAAAAAAATGGAAGACTTCTTTTATCAATGCAGCAGAAATTTGTAATAGGTGTGTTTGCAGGTTTTATTGAACTAAACGGTATCAAATTGGATTAATAGATCTCTGTGATGGCTTTCCCACTTTGGAAATATGCCTTCTTTGTTCTACAGGCTTTCCCTAGAAGCTCTCACAGGGAATATTTTCCCAAACTTTGCAAAACCAAGGGCTGCATCGCAGTCCCATGGTCTCTTAATAAATAACCAAAGCCAGGGTTCCAAATAAAACATTTCTACATCTTAAAAACCAAGATTTGTCTGACTCAAACCTGAACCCCTCTGCAAGTTCAGTTCTTCTGTGGTGATGACTCTTATTCAACAACATAAGCTGCGGGAAAGGTGGAGGGAATCTCAGTTTTGCTCACCCAGACAATGTGGCTACCCTAAACCCAGATGGGTTTTCTTTTGGGTGCTTTTCTTACTCTGTAGGATGAGCGACAGACTAAATGTTTAAGAGCTGGATTCTAGCAATTGGTCTGTTAAAATTGACTGATCATCTGTCAGGTAAGGCCCCCTAAGTCTTAGTTTGCATTTTTCAAAAGTTAAGGAGTATTGAACATACAGTGGATTGCAAGAAGAACAAACACTCTCTCTTGAAAAAAGTGTTTCACAATGGTTTTTAGAAACGAGGATGATAAAACTTCATCTCATATAGTTTGCACATGTTATCAACGGAGGCCAGTCCCTGAGGAAGGACATCCTGCTTGGTAGAGGGTCAGGGAGAAAGAGATGCATCCTTAATGAGACCCCTTAATTAGAAAGATCAGGACTGTAGTCTCATACATAGCAGTGATGGTACAAGACAAGGCAGTAATTTGTTCTGTTGTACATAGGCAATTGACTTGACAGCATGTATCAACAACAGTAATTTTCAAACTTCCATATCTGGGCCTTTTGTATAAAGCAAGCTTTGTCTGGATGCCCAGTATAGAAGAAAGCAGAGCCACTCTGGTTGACTTTCTAACTTTTTTTAAATTGTGGTTTTAGTGAAAGTTTGCAGAGCAAATTAGCTTCCCATTCAACAACTTAGACACTTAATTTCATGCCATTAATTGCAGTCACTGTGTTGTAACAGCATTCTCCAAATTTTCCAGTATTCTCATGTCAATTCTTCCTTCTTTCCTACTTCTTCCTGCCTTCTGGACTTTGTTTTGCGGACATTAACTACTCTTTCATATGCTGCCCTGGACATCACCAGGTTGTGCCAAGAAATCTGGAGGACAGCTTCCTGGCCAACTGACTGGAAGAGATCCATATTTATTCCCATTCCAAAAAACTGGTGACTAATATCACACAAAAGCAAAATCCTGCTGAAGATTGATTATCCAGAAAAGAATGGAACAATACACTGACAGAGAACTACCAGAAATGCAAGCTGAGTTTAGAAGAGGTCGTGGCTCTAGGGACATTATCGCTAATGTCTGATGGATCTTGCCAGAAAGCAGGGAGTACCAGAGGAATGTCTATCTGTGTTTCATTGACTTCATAAAGACATTTGACTGTGTGGATCACAATGAATTGTAACTAGCCTTGTAAAGAATAGGAATCCCAGAACACTTAATTGTGCTCATGTGAAACCTATACTTGGACCAGGAAGCAGTCTTCAGAACAGAGAAGGGAAACATTGCATGGTTCAAAATCAGGAAAGGTGTTTCAGGGATATATCCTGTGTCCATACCTTTTCAGTCATATCCTGTGTCCGTACCTTTTCAATCTGTATGTATAACAGATCATCCTGGAGTTTGGGCTTTATGAGGAGGAGTGTGGCATCAGGATCAGAGGAAGACTCCTCAGCCATCTGTGTTATGCAGATGCCACAATCTTACTTGATGAAACTGAGGAGGACCTGAAGTGTTTGCTGCAGAAGGTCAAGGACTGTAGTCTTCAATATGGATTGAAGCTCAACATCAGAAAGAGATTCTCACCACTTGGTCAATTTGCAGCATCATGATAGATGGAGAAGAATTTGAAGTTTTTAACAATTTCGGCTTTCTCGGGCCCACAATCAACACCTTTTGCCCTAGCAGTCTGGAAATCAAAAGATGAATTGCACTGGGGAAGTCTACTGTCAGGGACTCCTTCAAAGTGCTAAAGAGCAATGATGTTAGCCTAGAAACTAAAATGCACCTGATCCAGAAGACATGGTCTTCACAATTATTTGCTATGCATCAGAGAGCTGAACAATGACCAAGGATGACAGAAGAATAGATCACTGCCTTTAAGTTGTGGTGCTGGAGAAGAGTATTGAACATACCATGGACAGCCAGGAGAATAAACAGGTCTGTCTTAAGGTGAAACTAAGTTTCTTCTTGTAGGCAAGGATTTCGAAGCTCTGTCCCACATACTTTGGACATGTTGCCAGGAGGGACTGGTCCTTGGAGAAGGATACCTACTTGGGAGGGTAGAAGAACAGCATAGGAGAGGAAGACCCTGGATGAGATGGATTGACATGGTAACTGGGGCAACAGGGGTAGGTATGTCTGAATCAGTGAAACTGGCTCAGGACATGGCAGGCTTCAGAGCTGTTGTACATATAGGGTTGCAGGTGACTCAATGGCACATAACAACAAAACAACAATTGTTCTGCTCTGTAAAGGTGGGTGATTCTGTGCTAGAATGTTGTTTTTTGTTTGAGCTTTTTTTTTCTTTAAAGTGAAAAGATGCTCTGACTTGGCTTACCATGCTGAATAATGTGCTAGTGAAACTTCGTGGGGGAAAAAAAGGGAAAGATATAGGAAAGAATAAATTAATAGATCACAAGCTGTGCCTCTTCCCTTACCATGATGCAAAATATTTTAAAATATATTAGTAAATTTCTCCAAGAAGTCTCAGAAATCATACCTGAAATTATTTATGTGCCAATTTGAAAAAAAATGACATTACAGCACCTTCAGGTGTTTTGTCTGTTTGACACAAGGATCTGCCACATCTAAATAATAAAAGCTTTCATTGTTCCAACACATTTATAAATCACACTTCATTTTACTGCTTTTTCTGTCTGGGAAATGCACACACACAGACATCGTGCAGCCATGCCCCTGATAGCTAGGTTGGGCCAAGGGTCACCCAGAAGGCAACCCACTTCCACTTGAATTATGCAAATAAGAGCTAGGTGACTGAGAACTTGATTTTGGTCTGCAAGATCTAGGGAGTTTTGCAAACCCTAGAAGAGTGCAGAATTTCCTGAAGATGTTTCAGTGTGGCTGAATTTCTTCCTTCACTTTGGTTATGACTACAAAGGTGCTGGGAAGCTAAATTAAAACTAGCACCTAGGAGCAGCCCTTCTCCCTTGGCCTGGGGAGGGTA